ATCGAGATGTATTTTTTTACTGCGTTTATCGCGTTAGTGCCTGTGTCATACGCATGGGTTACTTGTCGAAAAAGGGAAATCCCACATATAATCTGTCAGATGTACGCGTGTTGTAGTAGGTGCAAAAATCTTGAGCTTTGCAGACGCGTAAATAAAAAGTCAAAGATTTTGTGGTAAGTACAGCTTGATTAAATCAAAGAGTGAATACACAATGAAAATAAATTAGTTTCAGCTTTTACTATGGCAGAAAAAAGGAACAGGGCTCTTTTAAAACGAAAAGTCATTTCTATAGAAACAAAAATACAAATTCTAAACCGTTTAGACAATGGGCAAACTGCCACGGATATTGCAAGAAGCCTTGATTTAAATGAGGCAACAGTTCGCACTATCAAAAGGAATGAAACTGAAATACGTCGTGCAGGAAGCCTTGGGTTATCTATCTCTACAAAATTTACCAGTAGAACACGTGCACCAATTTTAGAGAAAATGGAAAGAGCACTTAGCATTTGGATTGACGACAGCTACGAAAAAAAGATCCCTTTAAGTCAGCGGATCATTCAAGAAAAGGCACTCAGGATTTATGGACTGCTCGAGCGAAATGGAGAGCCGTCTTCCAGCATAGATTTTGTTGCTAGTAATGGATGGTTCGACAAATTTAAAAAAAGGTTCTCCATTCATAGCCTCAAATTTAAGGGCGAAGCGGCATCGGCCGATGATGGAGCTGCTACCACATACCCAGAAGAAATTCAGAGGTTCATTAATGAAGAGAAATTCCTGCCCGACCAAGTTTTTAATGCGGATTAAACTGGACTTTGCTGGAAAAAAATGCCAAGTCGAACTTTTTTATCAAAGAATGAAAAAGTAGCTCCCGGCTTTAAGGCACAAAAAGATCGTTTTACACTTTTGCTGTGTAGTAATGCATCAGGCGACTTTCAAGTAAAGCCAATGCTTGTTTATAAGTCTTTCAATCCCCGTGCGTTTAAAGGGATAGACAAGAGCAAATTACCTGTTTACTGGAAAGCAAACTCCAAAGCTTGGGTAACTGCAGAATTATTTAAAGACTGGTTCTTGAATTGTTTTGTACCTGAGGTTGAAAAATATTAAAAAAAAAAAAATTTACATTTTAAACACTATTATTATTGGACAATGCCCCAGGACATCCAAAAGATTTAACCCATCCGAATGTCAAAATAAAATTTCTTCCACCTAATACAACATCACTTCTGCAGCCAATGGATCAGGGTATAATTTACACTTTTAAGACATACTACATCAGGCGCTCTATACGCTGGATTTTGGATACAACAGAAACTGACTCCATCGATGTAACCAGTGCTTGGAAGAAATTTTCTATTAAAGATAGCCTTGAGTTGGTAAACTTGTCTTTAAAAGAAATAAAGGTGTCAACATTTAATAGATGCTGGAGGAAATTATGGCCAGAGGTTGTTAGAAGCAATGAAATAGAAGTGCCAAACGTGGATTCCAGGATATATTGGACCTTGCTCACTTGATTGAAGGTGAAGGTTTCGACGACATGGCAAATTATGATTTGCAAGAGTTGTTTGTAGATAATGAAATCGATGACGAATCATTGCTTGAGATTGCTGTGAATGAAGCAAACAATTCGAAATCAGATGACAGCAGCTCTGAAGAAACCGTTCCTAGTTTAACAATAGAAAAGCTCCAAGAAGGATTCGCATATGCTAGCAACTTAGAATCGTGCTTTATAAATGCAGATCCGGTCATCGAACGACGACTTAAGTTTAAGAACGATTTGGAAAAAATAATCTCCTTTGTTTTTACCATTTTTAAGTTTAATTATTATTATTAATTAATTATTAATTACATGAAGCCACTTTTTTAGTTAAATATTAACTTTTAATTTGTAAAATAAAATTTTAATAAAAACCGACCAAATTTGAACAATCAAAAATTTTAATTGCTGCCAGTTTTGAATTTTGAGAACGTAACCCCTTATTTTGTACTGAATCCATGTTTCGCTTAACACGATTTCGCTTAACACGACATTTTCTAGGAACGTAACCCCCGTGTTAAGCGAGGGCCAAGTGTACCATATTTATAGTAAAAAAACAGAAAACGTTTAAAATATATATAATATTTTTATTTGTTAAAAATAAATTGTTGTTTTCTTCAATATGTTAATTCTCAAATAATTGCTTCAGGTCCTTATTGTTACGAAAAGATGGTATATCCAATGTTCCTCCCTGAAAATAAAATAGACAACATTCAAAGTAAAAACAACTTTTAAAACCAAATATTGTAGCCGCCTTTTAGTTTTAAACACTTCTTATTCTTTTCTTCTCTTATTAATATTTTCTTTATTATTTAATTTAGAACTTTTTATACTTGGTTTTATCTTTTCTTCACACTTGTCTTTACACTTCTTGTCTTATTCACTTCTACTCTCGTTCAGATCCTCTTACCAAGTGATCTGCCGCTCTCAGCAACCAATCAGACAACCCCGATTCTCTCAGTCAGTCGCTCTCCCATGCTCTCTCTTGAGAGAGCGTAACATCTCAATTAGAGTGGCCAGAGCATACTTCTCTTAACTGGCCTGCTACAATATATAAATATGTATATACAAATTTTTTATAAATATACTGAAGTTGACAGTATGTAAATATGTGTGCACATGCATATGTATTTATGTTATGTACATATGTATGTATGGCGCATCGTGCTCGCAGAAACTTGCATAAAATGGTACTTACCAAGAAAAATAGCTGTAAGTGCCAATATATCCACTTCTCAAATACATCATAGCAATCCGCTTCCTGCACGTTGCAATCACTGAGTTAAATTTGTTCACTTCATTTTATTGGACTTTTATTCATATTTCTACAAGTAAACTTTCCGAAATAAAATGCGATAGAGCTAAGACTGACCGTACCAATAATTTGCCATATATATAGTGGAATTTGTTTTAGTAGGCAGAACAAGTTTAAAATAAATTCATGGCTCTGGCAAGTAATTTATTTGATGCTCACCTATGGAATACAAATATATATACCCTAAACCAAACAAGAACAAGAAATACTTTACATTTTGTAAGTAAAACTTACAGTAACTCGACTACAGTTGACAGTCATTTGTAGTTCGACAAGACAACAACAAAAAACACTCGCATTATCTGATACGTAATTATACGTAAGGGTGACTGTATACAATATACATCATACATACAATGCAATATACAATATACATTGTCTGCAGCTTTACTGTAATTCAACCAACAAAATTTGTAGATTCAAGGTATCAGAATTTTTACTGTGCACTAGTCTCAAGCTTAGAGCAAACGTGGGCACGACTGACTGACTGACATCGCAACAGCACAAATGTCTTGCAAGCTTACATTTTTTTTGTCACCCAAAAAGCAAGCAAACAGCTGTTCGAATGAATTGCATGTTTTCAAAACAAAATATGTGTTTTATTTTTGTGCAGATGTGAGCTGAGGCCTCTGCCGACAGGCTGTGTAATAATGCAAATCGTAGTAAGCCGGCCGGGTTAATGGAGCCAAGGCGTGCCCATGTATGCTTTAGAGTATTATGTGCAAAGTATAACGATTTGTACACATTAATCTCTAACGTAGATAGTCATCCCAAAATAAAAACTTTAATTCTAACTCACTTAGTACACATGCAGGCAAACAATCTGACAGCACGCCAGTACTTAATTTCTTACTCTTTTCTATATTTCTTATCTTTTCTACTAACACGTAACCCAACAGGTACGTGCTTGGTTACATACGTACTGACCTTAGTGCGTGGTCACAAATTGATTAGTTTTAAGTTTAAACTAATATGTTTAACCATATAGCTAATTTATCTATATACACCTTTAATTCATCTATGTACATATATTCTGTTTATTTCTTAATTATTATGTTTCTGGGGGTAATTAATAATTTTTATACCCTTCCAGGGTATTATAATTTCAGTCAGAAGTTTGGAACGCACTGAAGGAGGCACCATCGACCATATAAAGTATATATATTCTTGCTCAGGATCAACAGCCGATCCGATATAGCCATGTCCGTCTGTCCGTCTGTCCGGCAGTCCGTTTCTAACTAGAACGATCGAGAAATTAATTCAATTAAAAATTAGAACTTTTTCATTTTTCAACAGATTTTCATCAAATTTGAGTTATAGCCATTTAATATTACTATGCAATTTTGTGTAAAAATTATATGAAAATCGGACTAATATATCATAAAGCTCCCATAGGAACGACGTTAGATATAGAGGAAAAATGCAAATTTGTGAATGTAAAGGTGAATAAAATGAAAGCAGGTATTACTTCATTGTTTATTAACATAAACAGCCCGTAAAATATGTACTTAAATTAAAATATGTAGTAATTATAGTTAAATAACTTAAATAATTTGTCCCCCAATGCAAGCGCTAGCCGCTAAAAATTGGCGTGAGGTCATAACCATGTGAGCCATCCAAGTGGCCGTCCAAAATCTTTAAAAAAGACTCTGCATGCAGAAATATGGATACGCATACAAACGTGCGAGCGCTTGTACACATATACACATATACACAGAAACGAGAGCACAGCGCAAAGAAACGCACCCCTGCTCATCGTTCCACGGTCGATCTGCCACTGAAAAGTGAATTCTTGTTGTGCTCGGTTTCAAACGAATGCTTCGAACTCGAAAAAGCCGAACGCATTCTGGGGTTCTAGACATATCGTTCGGCTGCTCTGGGGTCAGGCTCAGCCGTTTTTGTGGTAGTACTTTTTGTACTGTTTGACTTCTCTATTGCTTAGTGCCAGAACTGAGAACTACGCCTTGCAGACGTTCGCAGAGAGCGAAGAAGTACATTTTTACTAATGTCTATTTTAAAAAGTTTTGGAAAATTATAATTTTTCGCGACATAAAATTTCTGAAAAACTGCAAATGTTGCATCGAATTAAAATAAAAAGGTTTTGAAAAAAAAATTACATTCTAAGGTACTTACAATAATTGGTGAACTTACTACAAATTTGGGGAATCCAAAGAGTAAAACGAAAAAATTTAAAAAATCGCATAGAAATAATAATGTATAAACGTCAGTTGATAAACGAGCTTTATGCCTTAAAGTTACAAAAAATTTATGAAATCCAGATAAAAACCCTCCTTTGCGCCTAAAAATAAATTATTAATATATTTAAATTTCAAAATAAAAAAGGTACATACGCTAATCGCTCCATTGCCTTTCGATAATATTCTGATTCAATATTCTGATAAACATATTTGTTCTCCATACCCGGACGCAGAACATCATCCATTACTCGCTTAAACGCAATAGAACTAGAATGCTCTCCATCGTTTTTCATTGGCTCTGTTCCAGCCTCTTCCCTTAAAATGTGTATAAGATAAATTTAGTTCCATGCTTACGACTTTATGCAGTTTTTATTAATCAGAGGTTTCATTAGAAACTTTAAACAAAAAGTTTTTATTCTCGGGGGTATTAAGAATACCTATGGGGGGGGGGGGTAAACATGAATGTGGTCATAATTCGCAATAAAATTTGTGTGTATAACTATACCCAAATTTATGTGATAATTTTTCAACCTCATTATACATCCCGATTTCATAATTAATACGCAAAAATTAATTTAAGCTAGTTTTGCAGAGCAATACATCTTATTTTGTCTGTATCTGTAAACGGTTCGCCAGATCTTCCGTTTTAAAATTCGTTTGAGACCCAGAGTCCAGAAGCGCTCGGGTTAAAACGTATATCACCGCTTTTTGTGCGCAGCCAAAATTGACTTCCATAACATGTGACGTAGAAGCACTAAGCAAGAAACACATAGAGGTGTCAAACAGTACCAAAAAGTACTATCACAAAAACGGCTGAGCCTGGAACCCCAGAGCACCCGAACGATATGTCTAGAACCCCAGAGTGCCTTCGGCTTTTTCGAGTTCGAAGCAGTCGTTCGAAACCGAGCACAACAAGAATTCACTTTTCAGTGGCAGATCGACCGTGGAAGGATGAGCAGGGGTGCGTTTCTTTGCGCTGTGCTCTCGTTTCTTTGTATATGTGTATATGTGTACAAGCGCTCACACGTTTGTATGCGTGTGCAAATTTCTGTTCGCAGAGTCTTTTTCATACATAGGTTTCGGACGGCCACAGCCAGTGGGCCCAAGCGGCGGCTCACTTGCTTATGACGTCACAGCAATACTTAGCGGCTAGCGCTTGCATTGGGGGACACATTATTTAAGTTATTTCACTATAATTACTACTTATTTTAATTTAAGTTTCTTTTTTGACTATATTTCCCAAAAGGCATTTTGTTGATGAATCATCGAATTTGTTATCGTAAACCTTTTTTAATCTGGTCATTGCCTTTTCGTAATTACTCTGGGTGACTTGTTTAACTTTAATTGTTCCTGAAACTTCGTTAGAGAGATATAAAATTAAATGGTTACATTTTTCGAAAACAGGAACGCTGGTATCTTTATGAACCAAAGATTCGAAGAGGCTAATAAAGTTTTTAAATTCCGAAAAATATCCACCTAATCTTGGCAATGCCAAATTCGGATGTCACGCACGAGTTGGTGCTACGGCAACTGATCCCGGAGTTTCGCTACTGGCTGCTGTCTTTAGGACAAATAATATCGACATTAATTTGGTCCCTATGCTTATTTCGTCCAACTCGTCGCCATATTCATCGCTACTATCTATTTCTTCGATCTGTTTTTGTTTGCCTTTTTATTTAACGCATTTAAGTTTTCGAGTCGACATTTTAATTCTTCCTCTAAATTCGGAATCGATCTTTAATAATTAAACTAATTTATACAAGAATAATATATATATGTAATATAATATAGATTTTTTCAAATAAGAACGACGACAAAATAATTATACATAAAAACTTTCGAATCAAAACGATACATTTATTAAACAAAAAAAAAAAAAAAAGATATACATATATTATTTTAATATAATAAATATTATTATTTCATATAATAAATAAAATTTTTTTTTTCTGATGAGAACCACAACGATAAAAAATGTTTAAATTGAAAATCAAGTCACGCAGTATCAATATTAATAGTGGGTGCAGGCGACGCCGAAAAGTGTATACTCGACGAATACAGGGTCCCAGTCGGACTTTTTAGCCAAATTCATGCTGATTTTCATGCCAACCCGTTCGGTGTTTAACAGCACGTCCTTACTGACAAACTTTTAAGAATATTATACGATCAATTAGGGATTGAACCTGCGTCTTAATGTTTAACAGTCAGTTTTTGAAAACTAAAATTGCATCGGCGATATACACCATGTGCATATCGCGTGCGATAGGGTCAAAAACTTTCACCCATTTTATGACATTTATTTTTTGCTCGCTTGATATTTGAATTTGCCGTCGCGAGGCAAACGCTCCGGAGTTAGAGCACCCGCCCTCCCAAAAGGCTAGCGCGAGTTTAAATCCCGCTCGAACTAAACTTTTTCTTACTTTTTTAATAATAAATATTAATAAAATACACAAGCTCTCGAAAATTTAATACTAAGTTCATATTAATAGGATTCTATTCTCTAGATATTTTCAGATTTTTATTTAAAGAAATTCCAAGTAGTTTAAAAAGTCAATTGGCGGTCCGCCAATCAAATGGCCAAAAAAGAGTATACCCGACGAATACAGGGTAGTGCGTCACCTGGCGTTCCGGTAATCTTAGCGCGCCGAGCAATGTATCTGACTACATGACGCCTAGAACTTGTGAAAACATCAACATTTATGGGACCTGACGACTGGAAACGGTTCAGGAGCACGCTCGACACCTCAATATTTACTCTGACGGCTCCAAGATGGAAGGACTGGGCATATACTGTACAGGCCCCGAGATGAAGCTGTCGTATAAGCTACCAAGCCATTGCAGCATATTCCAGACGGAAGCCTTCGCCATCAGGAAGGCGGCAGAGCTTGCGCAGGAAATGGCCCGCCCATGTGAGGCGGTAAACCTGTTCGTAGACAGTCAGACGGCGATTAGATCCATGCAATCGTCATTGGTTCAAAAATGAACTGGCAAGCAAGGACGCACTAGATATCCTGAGCACGACAACGTCAGTGCGGATCTACAGGGTTCCCAGCCACCAGGACATAGGGGGAAACGAAATCGCAGACGAACTGGCAAAGGAAGGAGTCGCACTGGCTATTTATAGAACAGAAAACGTCCAAGTCTCTCTAAGAACGCTCCAAAGCGAGTAAGAGAGGCGGGTGGACGTATGAGCAAAAAGCACGTGGAGTGGAAAGTCTGTGACTTGCAAAACAACTAAAATCATGTGCAAAGAGCGCAATGACAAACTCAGCCACTACGTACTATATCTATCCCGAAAATACTGCAGACTACTAGTGGGAATGCTTACGGGTCACTGCCTGGCTGCCGCGCATGCAGTCAAGTTGGACGTCACCAACAACGGCAACTGCATGAAATGCGATGAATCTGAGGCAACCAAAACCTTGGAGCATCTCATCTGTAAGTGCAAACAAGACAAAATAAACAAACAATTCATTTATCTCCAACTCCAGCTTTAAATTTTTTGCACAAATACCCTGATTCCTGGCTTATATATGTAAATATATGTATAAATTCCAGAAGCCTTTTTCCTTAACGGTGGAGATTCCTCGTTGATGGCAGCAATTATGCGCAGCACAAAGTATTTAACGACCGAAAGGATTATTTTATTAATTTTTTTTTAGATTAACACAGAAGCGCACAGCGGGAATGTATGTACAGCTTGCTAACTCCTACACTCTCCTGCTCCCTTGCTCTGCCGGTTTTTCTGTGCCGCTGGACTTCTTATCTTACTATTCTTATCCATCGCTCTCTCTTTTTATCTACAAAATTTAAGGTACAGTGGTAAGTCATAATTCATGACTACATTAATTGCCGCGAGGTGGGAAAGGAGATGATGTCTTTTATGCGGTAGAGCGGATTTAAGGACGTGTTTTTGAGTTTCGTAAAAGTCACGATAGGTTTTTGGCGCTGGATACTCAATTTAATAACCTTATGCTATTTAATGAGTCTCCAAGGCGAAAAAACCGCAATTGGTGGGCAGCAATCAAGTGGATCCCAGTAACTCGCAACGGGCTCTCAGCAGCAGCCCCCTCGACTACAGTATTAACTCCAAGGGTGCTGAAATCGAGCGCTAAAAAAAGATTCGGTGCTGCGGGAGTGCCCTTGCCGCCAGTGATATCCGTTTTCTCCACTGGGGGGTCCCAAATAATGACCCCTCAAAGCCCCGTAAATAGAAATGTAACCGCCAAGGGTGTCAGGGCCGGAATACAGGCCGATATTGGCACGGCAGAAAGCCAATCTGCCTTGCCAAAAGCAATTCTAGCAGTTCCAGCTATGAGACATATTTTTGTTTCGCGACTCTCCCCTGATCACACATCGGAAGATGTTTTCGCCTAGGCAAAACCAGAGCCAATTAATAAAGACTAACGTGGAAAATTTTAATTTTTCTTACTCTGGGATAATTACTTTTGGATGGAGAAATTTTGGTAGTCTTTGGTGATTTTATTATCACTGGGGTTTTTTTGTTTTCAAATAATTCCACCAATATTCTCCTAACTTTAACACAACACGACTTTATGGCTGGCGTGTTCGACATTTCGCTGTCTTATGTCAACCATGTACGAAATTCCTTACCGCGCTTGCTCGATCTTTGTTCTTGTGATCCGGCGAGAATTAGCTTAGCCAGGGTGGCGGCTCAGACGTAGCCCGAAGATCCGAATCATCCTACTTTCGATGAGACTCTTGATATTGGGTCTGACTTACAGAATATATCTGACCGTCCAGCCAAAAAGGTCATTTGTTTTCGCAAGACGGACTTGGACGACTGTATAATTTTATAAACGAGTTCAATTGGTACGATCTATACATGTGCTTACATAAGCACTCTGACATGGCAGTTGCCGTTGATATTTCTTACAATGCCATGAATTAATTTTTTACTGAATGTGTTCTGTTATATTATCCGTCAAGCTCGAATAAACCGCCGTGGTTTACTAAAGAGTTGAGCCGACTTTAAAATAAAAAATCTAGTCTGTATGGTAAATTTAAAATCACCGGTTCTCAATCTGCCCTTTCCTCTAATTTAGCTGCTCGGTCAACCTTTACTGCACTAAAAACGCAGTGCTATAAAAACTATTTTACTCGTTGCAGGTTCCAGTGTTCAAATGACCAAAACCAGTTTAATAATTTTGTTAACACTAAACGGAAGCCTCTTCCTCGCTTTCATTTGAAAATACTTCCACAAATAATGATCAAGCAATAACCAAATTATTTTCGCCGTTTTTTCAAACAACTTATTCAAACTCTCTGGACTCGAATAAGACTAACTCCT